ATATATATATATATATATTCTTGCTCAGATTATGCCAGTGCTGGCCGTTGAGAGCTCCTTCACATTGGCTCCTGTGTCCTTTCTGTATGCCTCCAACAATTTTTGAGCACACCCTTACTTTCAGACACCACAAGACGTTCCAGGTTCATCTTGTACTTCCCTGTCCCATCCTTGGAATCAGCCATTTCTCCTAGGAGCTCTGGTTCCTATTTTGGCGGAATGGTATTTAGACACCAAGTTCTAGGCTCTAGGTATGCTCATTGCCCCTGGGGTGTCATTACCCTCTCAACTAATAGAGCTGGAAAATATATGTGTGTATACTAATGTGTGCATGTGCACTTATCTACATTTCTTTCTATCTCTATCTTTTCTATCTATCTATCTATCTATCTATCTATCTATCTATCTATCTTTATATATTTAAGACCATGAGTTTGTACTGATACCTATAATTCCAGTCCATCCAGTCCATGCTCCCTCTCATCCCTACTATCATATCCTGTTCCCTCATTCTTTCCACCCCATTCCATCCACCTGCTGCAGTAACCAACCTCATAAATTTCTGATTTAAAAATTTGGAATGCTCCACAGACTTGCCTTTTATTCTTGTGCATTAACCTTCTCCATATTATTCCAACTTTGGTATATGTGCTGCTGAAATTGAGCACTAGAGTAATCTATTTAAAACAGAAAGCAGATCGCCCCTGTTCAGACCCCTCTGGTTGCTTCTTACCACCAGTAGAATTAGAATAAAATCCAAACCCCTTATCCCACCTTACCTACTTACTTTGAGGCCCTCTGGGATCTGACTTGTGTTTTCTGTTTATTTTCTCTGCTTTCTGCTCTCGTTCACTCTGCTCTGGCTATTCTTCCCCCTCTTGCTCCTGCCCTTATGCCAAGTGCTCTCCTGCCTTAAGCCCTTTGGATTTTTTCCCCCTAAACCTGGATTGCTGTTCCCACCACACACTCCCAGGGCCACGTGCTTCTGGTCTCTGATAAGCATGCACATCTTCATGGAGGCCTTCCTTAAATAGCTCTCCTACTAGTTTCTAATGTTTTGTTTTGATTCTTGGTAACAAGAATCAGTATAATGTCATATATTCAATTTGACGAATATAATATATTTATTTACTGTCTCTCTTCCCCACTAGAATATAAGCTCCGTGAGGCAGGGGCTTTGTTTTGTTCACAGAGCTTAGAAGAGTGCCTGGCATATAGTCCATAAATAAGCAGTCGGTAAATATTTGGTGAGTAAAGTTTGTGTCAGGTGTTTTTACATGTGTTATTTGATTTAATCCTCATAAAAAGACAATTGGAAGTGAATACTATTTTTATTCCAATCTATCGGTGAAAAAATGGAGGGTGCAGGAGGTCAAGTACTTGCCCTAGGGTATGCCCTTGGGGAAGGGTTGACCGGAGATCTGGCCCTCGTTCTCTCTGACTCCAGAGTCCATGTGTATGCTCTGCTTGCTATAGCGTGTCTTTGTAAACTGGGGGTTTGAAGTTGTACTTGCCATGTTGCATCCACGCGACTCCTGAAACAGAATGCTACAGGCACCAGTGACAGTTGCAACAAAGTTTATTACAATGAGAGAGAGGCAAGGCCGACCGATCGGGACCAACACTCTTGATAAGAGTGTGGCCCCGAACAGCCGGGGTACAGAGTTTTTAAAGCCGATCACATCATTTTATCGTTATCTGGGAACAGAACAGAGAAACAGTTCCCAGATGAGTTAGGAACAGTTGCCAGATGAGTCAGAAACAGTTATCGAATGAGGTGATTATTTTAGACTTTCTGCCGCTAAGTTGCAACCAGTGGATCTCCTTGACCTTGTCTCTGATGCTCTTTTTTGAGCTTTTGTTTCCTTCATTGGTAAAGCCTGATTCACAAGAGTATGAAGTATGATTTACAAGAGTAAAAGCAAGGTTGTTATCTTTTGACCTTCAGTGTCAGAACAAAGTTGTTATCTTTCAAGCTAAGCGTTAGCCCTACAGTACAATTTAACCCTTACAGCCACACACAGTAATTGTCAAGATACAATTGTAAAGCTATAACACGAGTGTGTTTTATGAACTATAAAGCACTGTACAGATAGGGGAATTATTAATATCGTTGCCATAATTATACCTACCATTTATTAAGACTCACAGTGCACCAGCCTGAGCCCTGTATCACCCTGTCACTTAATCCTTCTAGCTGCCTTTTGAACGTGAGATGAAAAAACAGAAGCTCAGGAAGAAGCGTGAACGTGCCCAAAGTGACAAAGCGGGTTAGGCCTGGCAGCCTCACTCCCGAGCCGAGAGCTTAGCTGTCTCTCTCTCTCTTTTTTTCTTTTTTTTTTTTTAAATTTTAACGTTTATTTATTTTTGAGACAGAGAGAGACAGATCATGAACAGGGGAGGGGCAGAGAGAGAGGGAGACACAGAATCTGAGACAGGCTCCAGGCTCTGAGCCATCAGCACAGAGCCCGACGCGGGGCTTGAACTCACGAACCGCGAGATCACGACCTGAGCCGAAGTCGGCCACTTAACCGACTGAGCCACCCAGGCGCCCCTTAGCTGTCTCTCTCAACACCTCCGTGTCCCAAGCAAGGGTACGGACAGACATGCCTCTGAGGGTTTCTTGTCGCTCTTTCATCACCAGGCAACTTATTCCTGGAATTCCAAGAGGAGCTGGAGCGAGTCTATAAGGTCTACTGTGCCAGCTACGACCAGGCCTTGCTGCTGGTGGAGACCTACCGGAAGGAGCCAGAGCTTCAGCGAGAGATCCAGGGCATCATTGAGGCAGTGGTGTAAGTAGTATGACCAGTGAGCACTCGTTTCCGCTGCCATTGACTCCGAGGTCAGGAGCCGTTAAGGTCTCACCCCTCCTCGGTGCCGCTCACGCTGCTTCAGGAGTGTCTCAGTCAGGCGAGGCTGCAGAGACAAACAGTCCCCACCCCCAACCCCCCCACCCCCCGCTCTTGGTGGCTTCAAACAGCAAAGCTTTATGCCTTCCTTATGCGCCACTGCGGTTGACTTGAGGCCCTTGTTTGTGTCATCCTCACACTGGGGCCCAAGCTTGATGGGAGCCACTCTCTGGATTATTGCCAGTAACTGTGACAAAGGGAAAAGAGCTCTGCAGGGTCTAATGCTGGTAATTAAACGCTCCCGACCAGAAATGGTCTCTATCAGCTCTCGTGATCCGTGGGCCAGAACTAATCACGTGGCTTCATCCGACCACCAGGAGGCCAGGGCTTCTACCCTGCCATGTGTCCAGAGGTGGAAGAACAGAAACATGTGGCGAACAGCACTCGTGTCTACCGTAGGAAGGGCAGTGAGACGGTTGGAATTACGGGCTGTGGGACAGGACGGCAGTGGCACGAAGCTGGTTTGTATCACCCAGGAGGGCCTCTCTCCAGATAGCTGAAGACTGTCCCACGAAACAGGATCAGAACTGCCCTGGGTGGCTTCACTGCCCAGAGCTGGCCCCAGCGGGTGGAAGCTCTAGAAGGAAACATGTAGAGAACAAATATATTTTTTTTAATTAAAATTTTGAATGGATAGCAGTTATGGTTCAGAAACTTAAAAGCATCCACATTTAGGCAGCCAAAAATTCTTCCCAACCCTGTCCCTTCCTCTACCCAAGTCCTACTCCCAGCCCCAGCGTTAAGGTAGCCACTTTGAAATTGCTTATGGATCTTGGCAAAGTTCCTATGTGCGAACACAAGCAAATACAAATATATACTATCATTTTACTGCCTTTTTAAAGAACGTCTGAATTTTTTTTTCACTTACACTGTATCTTGGAGAGCTTTCCATTTATTTGTTTAAATTTTTTTTTTAATGTTTATTTATTTTTGAGAGACAGAGAGAGACAGAGTGCAAGTGGGAGAGCGGCAGAGAGCGAGAGGGAGACACAGAATCTGAAGCAGGCTCCAGGCTCTGAGCTGTCAGCACAGAGCCAGACGCGGGGCTCGAACTCACGAACTGTGAGATCATGACCTGAGCCAAAGTCGGATGCTTAACCAACTGGGCCACCCAGGCGCCCCAATATCTTTCCATTTCAATTCCAATTTCCATCTTTCCATTTCCATTTCAATACATACACGTGTGATCCTGTGAATGCCATTCTGTTTTGTTTTGTTTTTTTATGTTTATTTATGTTGAGTGAGAGAGAGAGATGGAGTGAGAGAGCTCTGAGAGGGGGAAAGGCAGAGAGAGAGAGAGAGAGAGAAAGAGAGAGAGAATGAATCCCAGGCAGGCTTTGCTCTGTCAGCACAGAGCCCGACACTGGGCTTGATCTCACAAACTGTGAGATCATTACCTGAGCTGAAATAAAGATTCAGACGTTTAACTGACTGAGCCACCCAGGCGCCCCTAACTGGTCTCTTATTAACGGACATTGGTTCACTTCTTTTCTTTTGATGTTACAGGTAGTGTTGAGTAATTATTTATGAGCATATGTCATTTTACTCAGGTACAGGTATTTCTGTGAGGTAAATTCCAGACATGGGTTGCTAGGTCAAAGAAATTATGTATGGATAATTTTGATACTATTGCAAAATTTCCTTCTGTAGAGGCTACACCAAGTTGCATTCCCGTGACCAAGGTAGGGGTGTCTGTTTCCTCATAGCCTCACCAGACTATGTTATTAAACTTTAGAATATTTGCCTCTGAGACAGGTGACAAATGGTGTCTCAGTGTAGTTTCATGTTGCATTTGCTTCTTGTGATTAAAGTTGGTCATCCCTTTGTATATTTAAGACTTGTTTATATTTCCTTGCCTGGGATTGTCCTGCTTCTTTTCTGTTTTACAAAGGCTTATGTCTTCCCCAGGACAAGCTCACCAAATGGAGAGAGATGAAGGTTATTTTCTGGAAATCAGAATAGTGCAGGAGGAACAAAGGTTATTACCATTTCATCTTGCTTAGACATTCCCTTTACACCCAAGAGAAACACAGTATATAGATTTAGATCTTTCTCTCTCTCTCTTTTTTTTTTTTTTTTTTTTTTTTTTTTTTTTGAGAGATAGAGAGCAAGCAATAGGGATGGGTAGAGAGAGAGGGAGAGAGAGAGAATCCGAAGCAGTCTCCACACTGTCAGCGCAGAGCCCAGCGCAGCCCTCGAACTCACGGACCATGAGGTCATGACCCAAGCCAGAGTCTGGAGTCGGATGCTTATCCGACTGAGCCACCCAGGCGCCTCGATTTAGGTCTTTGAAGATGACGGTATCTCATGTGGAACCTCCTGCTACCTCCCCCCCTCCTCTCTCTTACCTTATGCCCTCAACCCCCCTGAAGCCTTCTTTTCAAGTACCCATGTCCTAGCCCCTCCCTGCCCCTCAAAACCTACATTCACTTCCTCCTTTGATTCATCCTTCCACGGGTCTTAACAAATTTAGGCTTTTGCAACGGTCACTAAATACATTTCAGTAGGAGAAAGGCAGATAACAGAAATGAGGGAAGCAAGGTGCCCGGTGCGAGGCAAAAGGGAGCAGTGGAGACTGAGGCCAACCGGAGCCAACAGACCCTGTGGAGAGAGTGGTTGCAGCCCACCTTCCACTGATTGTTGCTCTATCAAGTAGCTTTTGCTATGTAGCAGACCACCCCAGAACGGAATGGCTTAAGACAAACATTTGTTTGGCTCACGTTGTTGCCTGTTAGCAATGTAGCCGGGCTCAGTAAACCGTTCTGCCAGCCCTGGCCGAGCACCTTCACGTGCCTGTGATCGACCAAAGGTCAGCTTTGCTGATCTTGGCGGGGCTCTGTCGTGCATCTGAGACATGTGAGCTGACTCAGCTCTGGCGGTACAGCCTCTCATCATCTGGCAGGTGGCCCAGGCTCGTTCACACGGTGGTCACAGGATAGAGAGAGGGAGAGAGCAGGAGGGAGGGAGAAGGACGGTGAGAGGGCAGGGCAGGCCTTCAGAGGTCTTGGCTGGGAATTGGCATGCTGCGACAGACCCAAGGGGTGGAAAAATAGAATAGAGGAGCTTCAAGGTCATATTCAGAGGGTGTGGATACAACCACCACCACCACAACAAAGGGTGCGAACACAGAGAGTAGAATGATTACAGCCCTATTTTACAAACCATCTGCCTCAAATGCCATGTAGGAATGAGATCCTCTGATTTTTCCAGAGAAGTCAGAAACTTTGATATAACGTCTCCCAGGCGCCAAATGCTGGCATCTAGCTCTGACATGTTAGAAGCACTGTTGGGGGGCCGTGGTTGGTACAGAGGCTGCTGTTTGTCGTGCCTTCCACACTCTGGTCTTTCCCAGCCAGGCCAGTCCAGACTTTTCTCATGGGCTCCAGTGCCACACTGCCCAGTAGCGGACCCGGCTCTGCTCCTAACTCACCTTGGTGAAGCCATTTCATGAATCAGAACCTAGTTTCCTTACTTAATGGGGGAGTAATAACTACACCTCATGGGGACACGGACTCATTGTACCCAAGTGACACTCTATGAACCCCAGCTCTCATCCTTGTCTTGGCTATCCTTGTCCCTTGAAACCACATCATGGCTCTCAGATCTAATGGTTCCAATGCTCCTTTTTTATAACAGACATTAAATTATTATCCTGAGGGGTGCCCGGGTGGCTCAGTCCGTTGAGCATCTGACTCTTGATGTCAGCTCAGGTCATGATCCCAGGGTCGTGGGATCGAGCCCCATGTTGGGTTCCACACTGAGCGTGGAGCCTGCTTAAGATTCTCCCTCTCCCTTTGCCCCCCCCCCCACTAATATCCTGAAATATATTCTCGAAATTTACATATATATGCTACCTATATACAGAACTTAAAAAAAATCAATATAATGGCTCAAAATAAAAAGGAGAAGTAAAAGGAAAATAATGTCTAATCAAGTTATATGTATTTCGGTGTGCAAATACTTGGGCACCACTACCCTAGAAAATCTAATGAAGCAATCAGATGCTGGCACCTACTTATAATAAAATAAGTTTGGATTCAAGGAAAGGAAAGTCAGAAGCCATTCTGCATAACAAAGAAGTAGGGAAAAAGGAGAGAGCAGAGAATGTGCGTCCCCTAGAATGACAAGTAGCAATGAGAGCAAATTTGACTTCCCTGTGTATGATATGAAAAAGAAGGAAACGACATAGGTGATGTAGGGATAACATCACATCTGGGCGGGGGTGGGGGGGCAGTGGAAGTGAGGAAGTATGATGTTCTTGCAGATGACCTGGGTCTTGTTTATGAAAGGTAGCATCATAATAATTTCCAGTGTTCTGGTAAGTGACTAGATGGAGTTCAGATCTCAGTTCTTGAAATCACAGCTCATTTTGAGGCATTCATTCAGTCTCTGAATGTTCAGAGGGACGTAGGAGACATAGCACTGTTCTGCACAGTGTGGGACTGTCGTTGCAGATGTCCCGCTTCCCTGGTCCCTGCCCACTAAGTGCCTGTAGCTGCCTGGTGCCCGAAGGTTTCCACAGTGCCCCTCGGGGAGAGCCTCTGGTCCAGTGTTGCACCAGGGATGCCGTTCTTCCTGTCAGCATTGCTGTCTCCTCTCTCTTGAAACAATAATCCTGGCTTTCTTGTGCTTCTGCAGTCAAATGCTCTACCAATGAGCTATACCCGCTCTTGGCTTTCTTGTGCTTATGATCATGGGACTCTTTCCAGAGCTTAGCCAACCAGAATCCCCACACCGACCGTAAGTGGTTCTTTCTCGTCCGGATAGGATGGACCATCTGATCAGATTCTTTGTGATTCCAAAATGCATGCTGCCTCCCGCCCTTTATTTGGGTGGGTGAGTGGGTGAGGTGTTCAGTTTATCCTGTCTCTTAATGCAGCTCCCACCTTGAGGGCCAAGGGGATCAAAGGCTCACCCTTGCCGTATGCAGCAAGTTCTGCCTCTGATTGTACAGCTGTCAGCCGGGGGAGGCTGCCTTGCAGAGGCACGAAGCACTCAGAATGATGGCGGAGGCAGTTTGCAGAAGGCAGATAAACCTTCTTTGTTTTCCTTTATTGGCAATCTTGGTTTGTTTTATTTTTATTTATTTGTTTGTCTATTTTAATTTTTATTTTAGACAGAGAGAGAGCACGTGAGCTGGGGAGGGGCAGAGGGAAAGAGAGAATCTTAAGCAGGCTCCACGCTCAGGGCAGAGCCTGACGCAGGGCTCAATCCCATGACTGTGAAATCATGACCTGAGCTGACAGATGGCTCAGTCAGTAAAGTGCCCAACTTCGACTCAGGTCATGATCCCACAGTTTGTGAGTTCAAGCCCCGGGCTCTCTGCTGACAGCAGGGAGCCCACTTCAGATTCTCTGTCCCCTTCTCTCTCTGTCCCTCCCCTACTCATTCTCTCTCTCTCCCTCTCTCTCTGCCCCTCCCTTGCTTGTAGGCACAGGTGCATGCACTTATGCTCTCTCTTTCTCCCTGTAAATAAATAAACTTTAACAAATAAATAAATATAATACCCAATAACTACTAAAAAAAAAAAAGGAATATTTAAACAATACACAGATATATAAAGTAAAAGGTAAAAGTCCATTCCCCGTTGGTCTCACATTTCCCCATCTCTCCACCTCATAGTTAACCTTTTCTATCCAGGTTTTCTTCTGTTCATTTAAAGACAGGCAGACAGACTTTACACGCAGAAGTCTAAGTGTTGGATGGATGGATGGATGGATGGAAAGAAAAGTAATGAAGGAAGGAGAAATTTAAAGGGGCTCTGACTTACCTGCTTTTCTAGAGCTTACTTTTTCACTTAACCACGGTCATGAATATCTTTTCACAACACTAGGAATACTTCTAGCATGTTCTTGTTAATGGCCCCACAGAGTTCCTTTCCAGGGCAGCTCAGACTGTGGTTTATTTAACCAAGCCCCTACTGATGGATATCTGGCTTGTTTCCAGTTTTTTACTGCGAAAAATAGAGTTGTTGGTAGCGCCCACCTTTATCTTTGCTCACTTGAGTTGACATTTCTGTGGGCAGATATCTGGAGTAGAATCGATGGAACAAGGATTTGTACATTTCACAAATTGCCAAACTGTTCTTCAAAATGATCTTACCAATTGCTGCTACCACCAAGAGAATGTAAGCGGGCCTGTTTCCCCTTCCCACACCCATTTTCTTTTTCTTCCTTCCTTCCTTCCTTCCTCCCTCCCTCCCTCCCTCCCTCCCTTTGGATTATCTTTCAGTTTTTGTTGCCTGTCTGAAAGGCTACTTAAACATTTTCTCCAGATTACCTTAGAAAAGCCATAAACATAAAAGGCTGCTGTGATTCTGTCATGACTGCTTGATAATTCTGGAGAAGAGCTGTGATCATTTCTTTGAAGACCCCCCCCCCCATCCCCTTATTTGTGGAGTGACAGCTGTCCCCAGGAGGCAGTTGGCCCTTTCCCATGGAAAGTAAGCTCAGAGGATAGAGTATTGCAAATATCTGGTGACTTTCTCCATCTCCCCTGCTCGTGGTCAGCCAAGTGCTAGGAAACCCGTGGCGAGAGCAGATGGTTGGCGTAGGCATGTCCTGACAGGTAATTCTACCCCTACCCACCCCCCCCAACCCCCTGCAGCTAATGAAGGGGCACCCACCTGCTCTGCCTATTCTTAGCCTCATGACTGATCTTTGCTGGACATTTGGTCTGGAAATATTTCCTTTGGAGGAAGAGCAAGAGGCACAGGTACCATGGAGAGGGGGGCAGAGAATGGCTGTGAGCAGCGTCTGTGAGTCTTCTTGGAGGAGGCATGCGTAGACACTGAGGCTTGAAATCCTCGCGAGCTTCTTGAAAGGCAGGTCTAAAGGCTGCTGGTCACGATCAAGGGAAGACTGTTGGAACCTCTTCCCAGATGCCATTGACTTGAGCATTCTTTCTGCAAATGCCAGACATCGTCAAGAAAGGGACTAGAAATGGTCATCCATTCATCAAATAGTGCATCTGGAAGGGGTCTTGACGCTAGTTGTTCATGTGTTTTGTTTTATTTTTTAGCTTTTTAGTGAAAATTTTCACACCTGTAGAAAAATGGAAGAATGTAATAAACGTATGCCACTTCCTAAAATTAACCAGTGTTAACATTTTGTTTCATCTATCTTTATACTAAACTATTTAAAGACAAATGTAGACATTATGACTTTTTACCCTTAAATACTTTAAATGCATCCTAAACATAAAGTGCCTGTGATTTTTTTTAAATCTTTTGACTTTGATTTTTTATTTTTTTAAGTTTTATTTACCAAGTTTTTATTGACAAATTTTGTAACAGCGATAACATGAGCTTATTTTAGTAAACCTGGGTAGAATAAATATTTCATATTTAATGTTGATGACTGTAGAGATAGGCCTTTTTAAAAAATGTTTATTTATTTTTGAGAGAGAGAGGGAGGGGCAGACAGAGAGGGAGACACAGAATCTAAAGCAGGCTCCAGGCTCTGAAGTGTCTGCACAGAGCCCGATGTGGGGCTTGAACTCACAAACTGTGAGATCATGACCTGAGCTGAAGTCAGATGCTTAACTGAATGAGCCACCCAGGTGCCCCAAAACAAGCCTGTTTTAACTAAACTGATAAACTAGCTTTATTACCAAATCTTGTCCCAGATCATATAAACCTGAAATTCACTTTGGTTGTTTTTATTCTGTTTTTGAGAAATTTTAAAGAAGTTTTACTTAAGTAATCTCTACACCCAACATGGAGCTGGAACTCATAACCCTAAGATCAACAGTTGCATGCTTACCAACTGAGCCAGCCAGGCACCCCCATTTTTGAGAAGTTTTATGAATACTAGGATTATGTAAGTGCTTCATTTTCTTTAAGCTGGTTAAAGAGAATTGTTTTACCAAGTAATTTTAGCAATACCTTAGAGGTAGAAAGTGCCATATATTCAAAATAGATGCAACGTATATAAATATACAGACAGATCCAGAGATTTTGTTGTTATTAGTATTTGTGAAGAAGGTTTTTGAGATTTGTATTTGTCCCTGGAGGAAATCTTGAGGCTGAGGTCTAGAGTTTGGGCAAGCGAGTCTTTTTAGCAGTTCATTTTTAAAAAATATTTATTTTTTGATTGATTGATTTGATTTGATTTTTTTTAAATATAGTTTATTGCCAAGTTAGCTAACATACGGTGTATACAGTGTGCTCTTGACTTCAGAGATCGATTCCCGTGATTCATAGCTTACATACAACACCCGGTGCTCATCCCAAGAACTGCCCTCCTCAATGCCCATCACCCATTTTCCCCCGAGTTTTATTTTTTTTTTTTAAATTTTCATTTATTTATTTTGAGAGAGAGTGTGTGCATGTGCACAAGCAGGGTTGGGGCAGAAAGAGAGAGAGTCCCAAGCAGGCTCCCCACTGTCAGCGTGGAGCTCGACGAGGACTCAGATTCACAAACTGGGAGATCATGAGTTGAGCCGAAATCAAGAGTCAGATGCCTAACCGAATGAGCCCCCCCAGGCGCCCCTACAACTTTTGATTTAAAAATTGTTTTAAATGTTTTATTTATTTTTGAGAGAGAAAGAGAGAGAGAGACAGAGTACTGGTGGGGGAGGGGCAGAGACAGAGGGAGACACAGAAAACTTTTGATTTTTAAAGCAACAGAACCATTTTAATGAATGAAATATAAAATGGATGTCCCGCATACGGAGTTGTGCTTGAGACAGTGCCAAGTGGGCGTGTCAAGCAGGCAGTTGACTGTGTGAGTCTGGAGCTCTGGACAGAAGCTGGAAATGGAGATCTGGGTTTGGGATGTGCTTAAAGCCACAGGCCAAGAAAATGGCCCATGGAGAAGGAGAAGCAGGACAATGGGCATCTATGGGGCCAAAAGAAGAAACTGTTTTAAGAGCAGGGAGCAGGGGCGCCTGGGTGGCTCGGTCGGTTAAGCGACCGACTTCGGCTCAGGTCATGATCTCACGGTTCGTGAGTTAGAGCCGCTCGTCGGGCTCTGTGCTGACAGCTCGGAGCCTGGAGCCCATTTCTGATTCTGTGTCTCCCTCTCTCTCTCTGCCCCTCCCCCGCTCACGCTCTGTCTCTCTCTCCTTCAAAAATTAATAAACATTAAAAAAAAAAAAAAAAAAGAGCAGGGAGCAGTCAGCTGTGTCTGCTGCTGAGAGGCCAAGGAAGCTGAGGACAAAGAACTAACCGTTGCATTTAGTACAGATGGGGACTCAGGGCCCAGAAAGAGGTACAGTGAGAAGTAGCACTGCCTATCTAACATCTAGACCTCACGCGTTACAGATGAGGAAACCGAGGGCCATGGAAGGAGGGTGACTTACCTGAGAGCCCACGGCGAGTTAAACGGCAGCTCTGGGACCAGAGCCCAGTCCTCCTGGTGCCTGAAAGGGTGGGCTTTACCTACCTAACGCCAGCCTTCTCCCCCAGGCCACAAGCTGGGCCCTCAGGCCTCAGTTTCTTACTGGTAATCCCTCTGCAGAGGATTACCAAGTACCCATTGCTGCTGCAGAAAATCCTGGAGAACACAGATCCTGATGCCAGTGCCTACCCTGTACTTCAGAGGGCTGCCTCTGCCCTCCAAGACGTGAACGCCAACATCAATGAGTACAAGAGGCGCAAGGAAGTGGGTAAGGACTGGGGGGATTTAGGGGCTGTTATCAGCGAGAATGCTTCCAGATCCAAAACTCATCTCAGACTGTCTTCATTAATAAAGGGAATGTAGCAGCTCACGTAACCACAAGTCCAGAGATAATATGGGCTTTCGGTAGGATTTAATCAGGGGGCTGGCTCCATTTCCCATAATTCTCTTATCTCCGGTCTTTACTCTGTGTCAGCGTCATCTTCAGGCTGGCCTCCCTCATGATAGTAGTTCCAAGACTCACATCTGCACAGCAAAGCCTCTAGGAGAAGACGGGGCCTTTCTCCCCTTAGTCATAAAATTAAATTGGAGCTTCATGCTGATAGGATCCACTTGGGTCATGTGCTCCCCCTGAACCAATCACCACGCTTAGGAGAATGCCATGAGCTGATTGGCTTGGGCCTGGTTTATGTTTCATTCTTGAGACCAATCACTGTGGCCAGGGGTTTGGGATTACGTGAACTGGCTTATGCCCGTGAGCCCCCACCCCTTGAACTAAAGTGAGATCAGTCCCATCCGAACCAGGAGGCTGCTCTACTGCGGAGGAGACATGAATAAGGGGAGGCCAGGAGCCGTGTATATATACCTTGGGAAGAGCAGCTAGTGGGTGGGAAACTCTATCTCTCAGGTTGTTGGAACTGAAGGACTTTGAAAAGGAAGCCGTGTCCCAAGCAGGGAGAAAACGCAGCCGCACGACCTAGATGGTACAGAGGTGCTAGTTTAGACAGCTCACGTTTCCCAGGGCTGACCGTGACACGTCTTTCATTCATTATCTGGGCTGAGCCTTACAATCTACACTCCAGGTAAAATGAGAGCTGACAGAGCTGGGAAGAGGCAGAGCTGGGTGTCAAACTCAGGCCCCGGGGCTGGGTGGCAGACCGGTCCTAGACCAGGACTGGGGATGTGTGCGCCCCAGCCTGGCCTGGCTAGCACTGGCCACGGGGCCCCAGGCAAATCACATCCCTCTTCTTTAGAAAGTGCCTTCAGACCCACTATCTTATGTGACCCTCCCAGCAATCACACGAGGGGGCTGGTCTCGTGTGCAAATGAAGAAATGGGCCCAAGAAGTGGCGACTTGCCAAAGTCCCACAGCTCCTGAGCCGGGGCTCACACCTTGGAGCGAGGGGTGCCGAGCCCTGTGCTCTTCCTCGGCAGCCTGCCATCCTAGTGGACGTGACGCTGATGTCTGAGAAGAGGGCTCTGGGTGGGTGCCGGACCAGGTGTGTCAGGGATGCCTGCTTTCCTGGGTCCGCTTTGGTTCCCATGCCTTCTCTGTCCTCTGTTGGTGCAGCCTCCAAGTATACCAAAGTGGGGCAGCTGACGCTCCGGGAGAGGCTGGCCCGGATCAACACGCACACCCTCTCCAAGAAGACCACCCGGCTGAGCCAGCTGCTGAAGCAGGAAGCTGGGCTTGTGCCCAGGGTGAGCTCCCAGGGCGGGGGCGACAGAGGAAGGGTTGCATCCCAGCCATCCCAAGGAGCAGGATTATGCAGTGCGTGGGGCAGGCTTAGACCCCTTTCGGAGATGAGGAAGCTGAGGCTAAGCGGGTGAAGGGAGTGCCCAACACGGCATAGCCAGGAGGAGGCAGAGGTGGTCCCCTCACGTGATTCTGAAGAGCCAGGGTAGGGCCTCACTGCCTCCCCCAGGGATATTCTCAGCTCTCACAAACTCTCCTCTCAGACAGAAGACAAGGAATTCGATTACTTAGAAGAGAGGTTGCATTGGGTGTCGCTGTGTGTGACCGAGACGAAGAACAACGTGGCTGTTTACCTGGCTAATCTGGAGGTGAGGATCTTGCAGTTAATGATGGGTGGGCTGGGCTGGGCCCCCCAGGCAGGAGGCACGCCGGGCTAAGCTGACAAGCTGGCAGAGGCAGCAGCTGCGGGAACCAAACGGAAGAGGTCACCTAGTCACTGGCTGTAGGTCAGAAGAAGGCCCTGGGCAAGCCCTCCCCAACCCTTAGCTTCCAAGCCCATTGAGCTGGTAGGGAATGAACTTGGTTAAAATTCACTGGCATCCGAGCCCTCTAGAGGGATCCTGCCATTCTGGCACCTAGAGCAGGGGACAGACTAAGGTGCCTGAAGGAGTCAGGCAGGTAATATTACCGAGTGAAATGTGCAGGTGTTCAAGGCTTAATATCTAACAGGCTATTTACGAGACTTTTCAGGAGCGTTAAATACATAATAATATTTAGAATTTGACTGACTGACTGGATGGGCGGATGGTTCCAAGCTAAAGGGGCAGCTGTTACTTGGCTCGGGGAAGCTGTTGCTGTTTGGGAGTGTGGACCCAGAGTAGCCAGTTCTGATTTTAGGGGGGAAAAAAAGACAACAACTGAAAATTCAGACTTTTAGACGAAATCCCCTGATGTGTCCATGTGAACGACAAATGAAAATTTAAATGCTGTACAGGCCCAAGAAAAAATATTTCTAGACGCTGAATTCAGCCTGCAGGAACCCCAGTTTGCATGCCTTCCGACACGTGCCCAAAGCGTCCTTCACTTTTGTTATGGATGCTGACTCATTCCATCCACTGTGTCCCTTTCCTGTGGTTTCGCTCTCAGTCATGTCCATTGGTGCAAAGCAGTCTGGTCAGATGATCACAGGCTCTTCGTACAGTGGGGTTTGGGGTGGCCTTACGGGAAGTGTGTAAAATGAGGGAGCCCACAGTTCCCTCTGTGTGGGGCAGATCCCCCTGCTCATTCCTGCTCCATCCCGGGCCCCCCGGCGGAAGGATCCGGCAGCAGGATCCTGTCACAGGACAACGAGCTGGGCGGGGAAGGCTCTCAAGAAAAAGGATGGAGAGGCCATGAGAGAGAAACCAGAGGCATATGAGAGACACATGTGGCTCTGCAGGTAGGACAGATATTTGGAAGCATTTGGCTGCATTTCCCCAGACTCAGGCTTATGTGACAGACACAGCGTTGACATGCAATCCCATAACAAGCACGCAACTCCCTCTTGTAATCCCCAGTCCAGGAGAACCTTCTTTTGCCTGTGTGTCTTTAACACAGGCAGAGCGAGGGGCGCCCGGGTGGCTCAGTCGGTTGGGCGTCCGACTTCAGCTCGGGTCGTGATCTTACGGTCTGTGAGTTCGAGCCCTGCGTCGGGCTCTGTGCTGAAAGCTCGGAGCCTGGAGCCTGCTTCTGATTCTGTGTCTCCCTCTCTCTCTGCCCCTTCCCCGCTCAAGCTCTGTCTCTGTCTCTCTCAAAAATAAACATTAAAAAAAACAAACAAACACGGGCAGAGCGAGTCTCGGGCTGGGAGCCTTCTGTAGGCAACGATGTCCAGACAGAACTTAACGACGTTGTTTTTATTGCAATTACTCTCACATGCCTATTTATGACAGTGATTGCTGGTTTTCCTCTTATGGTAATGTCATCAGCGGGTTGTTGTTTTTTTTTTTAAATTCTTTGATACAAATAGGCATGGTTAGTTGATTTCAAGGGTTAATAGAATGTGTGGAACATGGACATGGCAGTAAAACCACAAAGGTGATCGGCAAAGGCATGAAGTTTGGAAAGCGCTGGAATAGGGAGAGAGATGTTGGTTCAGTCCAAGGAAGAACTTTCTAATCACCCAAGTTGTGCAAGGATTGACTAGGCTGTGTGCTTCGCTGTCACGGTGGGTGTGCAGAGAGCCTGGACAGTCTCTTTGAGGGTAGAGTTGGGGGGTGGGGATACAGGCGTGAGATGGCTGTGATGGGCCATGACTGACTGTCTCTCCTTTGCTCGGGGTCCAGGCTTTCCTCCGCTTCAGGCCGCAGGAATCCGAGCTGGACATCCCTGGGGGGCCGGTGGTGCAGTACTGCAGCCTGATGGGAGACCTCCAGCTCCAGGCCTTCCCAGACTTTGTAAGTGCAGCCTCTCCTTTCCCCTTGCTTTTCAGGCAGGTGGCAGAGCCTATTAGGAATGATATTTAGGGGGCGCCTCGCGGGTTCCATCGGTAGAACATGCAGCTCTTGATCTCGCGGTTGGGAGTTCGAGCTCCACGTTGGGTGTAGAGATTACTTAAAAAAAAAAAGAAGAAGAAGAAGAAGAAAAAGAAGAATATTTAGAAGTCAGGACCTTTACACGGTTGTCACATCCGCAACCGCCCAGAGTTGTCAGCAGGGCAGGGATTATTATTAATGCATTTTACTGATAAAAATAGCCCCCGCTAATGTTTGTTGTGCCTTGCTGTCTGCCAGGCACATAAGCTGCTGAGCCCTTTACAGTCTTCATCTCATTTAATCTTCACAACGTGGCTCACGGGGTCGATGCTATTAAGAGCCCCATTCTGCAGATGAGAGCTGGAGGCTCGGAGAAAGTGACTTCCCAAAGTGACTCAGATGGTCAATGGCAAGTTGGGATCTGAGCCCCCAAAGATTGTGTTTGCGATCACCACTCTCTACAAGATCTTTTCAGACCTGTGCACAGATGCTGGGAAGCGCCAGGCACTCTGCTAAGCTCGTATGTGCGCCGTCCCCGTTTTTCAGATGGGCACGTGGAGGCCCAGAAAGGTTACATAACACGCAAGAGGCCACGGCTAGTCTGTGGGGGCGGGACTAGAGCCCAGTCCTACCTGCCTCCAAAACCCCTTCTCCCAGGTGCCTGTCCTCTGCCACTTCCTTGCCCAGCCCCCAGCTCACCTCTCCCCACAGAAGCAGCGGCTGGAAGGCCTGGTATGGCAGCCATTGTGCAGCCTCGCTAAAGCCCTGAGTGGCCCTCAGAACCTGGTCAGGAAGCGTCTGGACAAACTACTGGACTTCGAGAGGGTGGAAGAGAAGCTGTTGGAGGTGGGCAGCGTGACGTACGAGGAGCAGGAGGCCCGGCACACGTACCAGGCCCTCAACTCCCTGTTGGTGGCTGAACTCCCCCAGCTTAACCAGCTGGCCATGCGGTGGCTGGGCCAGATCTTGCACACGTTCGTGGACCTCCAGAGGGACCTTGCGAAGCAAGTGCTGCAGAGGGCAGAGGGCAGCTTGGCCCAGGTAAGGCCTCTGTAGGATAGCCAGGCAAGGCCTCTTGGCCCCCTCAGCTGTTTGCGGGGGCTGGGATGGAATGAGATGGGGCCTTCCAAACAGGCCATCAGGTGCTTGGGAGGAGCCCACGGGGACCTTCTGGATCTCTCTGATGCCGGTTCTCCTTCCATTAATGGAATCAGATCATGTAAACAAGGGTAGAACTGGGACTTTAGGCCATTCCTGGGCTCTGGGATTCAGAAGCGGAAGAGGCTCTGCTGGGAAAATAGCAGACCTTGGGGCCAGGCCTTGGGGTGTATTAGACATTGGTGACCGGAGGCCAGGACCCTTCTACACAATCAGGAGTGAATGTCCCAAGCCTCATTCTGCTGCTACTATTCTTCTAGCAGCCGCCTCCTTGTGAGCACTTAGTGAGTACCTTCCGTGTATTGTCTCACCTGATCTTCACAGTGACCCTGTAGAGTAGGTGGTGTTATTGTCCTCATTCCAAAAGGAAGCCCCGGGCACAGAGGGGTTAAACGGCTTGCCCAAGGCCACCCCGCTGATAGCAGGATTTGAACCCTTGCAGTTCAACCCTGGAGCCCAGGCTCTGAACAATGCTTGACAGCCTGTTAGAAGAGCTGTCTGCTGAAAGCATAAAGAGCTTGCAAAGAGGTTTGGACAAACTTCCAAGGGCAAACTTTGATTCTTGAAAACTGGGGTTGACACAGGAAGGCAGACTCTGCTGCTTTCCAGTCTCTCTCTGATGTCAGCATCCGAGCTGAGGGGCTTGTGGGTCTGGCCCCCCGGGAACTTCCAGCACTCCCCATACCACATGCTGTCTCCTCTGCCTCATGGTCTCCAGCTCAGCTGCCCCCATGCAGTTTGTTGCATGAGATTTCCTCTAAATCACACATGCTCCACCTCCGTGGAGGCTCTGTGCCTCACTGCACCCCCGCAGCCCCTTCCAGCACACCTCTTCTGAGTGTGACCATGGCCCTTTGCACCGACTCCTTCCTTGGCCTGGAACACCCCTACCCCATCGTCCCCCATGCCTTCCACAGTGCCTGGCGTATGGCGGGAACTCCCCAAACATGTGAAAGATGAACAAGTCTCTCCATGAAGCCCTCCGGATCCCCTCTCCCGCCTGGGAGAGCCCATCTCACCGCCCTCTGTCCTCCACCAGCCCTTCGGATGTGCTCTGTGAAGCACTTAGCAGAGACTGCCTTCTGCTGGGCTGCTGGATGAAGCTGTTTCCCCTTATTGAGGAGGGCTGGGACTGTAGGCTTTATTCTTTTTGGCCTTCCAAGCATTTAATACAGAGTTCTATCTCAGACACTCTTTTTGAATTCAATTAAGCCTGAACCATCTGCAAAAAGAAGCATTTCTCTTTCCTGAAGGCAGAGGGTAAATCTGATTAGATGATCTTGTCACTCTCTTCCCGCCCTCTAGTTTTCCCTCCAAGGCTGCCAGGCCCCTGGTGTTCAGACCGGGATGTGCGGGGCTGGGGAGTATTACAGGGTGCCAATAGCGGGAAGGTCAGCTTTATACAAGCTGAAAGGGGACATTTCCTGGTTGGGCCTGTCAGTGATTGGTGCCCGCTTCCTGTCTGTGGCCCATGGCCCCTCCCCCTGGACCGGTCCTGTGGAGTCCAAGAAAGGCCTGCACGGTGGAGCCTCAGTCTGTCCGCATCCTGGGGGGCGGGGGAAGGACTCTGAGTCAGAACCAAGAGCAGTGAGTTTGGTGACAAGCAGAGAGAGGACATGTCTCTGTTAGCTGTGGGGTCTAACTCATTCCTAGGTCGTGTGGTAAGAATGCTGGAGATGGCTAGCACGGCCAGGGGCTCAGCATGGAGCATTACTCAGAACTTCTTGGGCTACAACCCAGCTTAGGCCTAAAGAACAGCGTCGTGACTTGCATAACTGGGAGGCTCCGGAGGGGATGAGCCCCGGGCAGATTGCATTCAGTACAGATAGTGTTGTCGGGGCTCTGACTCTCGCTCCCCCTCCTGGCTCTGTGTTCTTCTCCGGGTTGGCTTCATTCTCAGGCAGACCCTTTTTCTGCATGGTGGGAGAGAGAGCTTCACATCTCAGAAGCTAGGGGAAACGCTATTCTGTCGTTCTCAGCCTTCACATACTAAATCTGCGGGAGGACGACTCTGAGCCTTGCGCGGGCTGCTTGTCCAGTCGGTGGGCTGATCACGGTGGATGGGAGAAGGGTGGCCGTGCCTGCCAGCCGTGTGGCTGCAGCACCACGGTGGGCAATCCCGCGAGACCCTCCCAGAGGGATGCTTTCTTGAAGGACAGAGAGTGGGGCAGTCGGCAGGCAAAAATGGCAGCCGACAAAGACAGAAAGACCCATTGTAACACATCGGGGCTGGAGTGTAGGCTGCCAGAGTCCTTCTGTCCCCTTTCTCCAGAGCGTGCTCTGATGACAGTGTCTGCCCCACCCAGCTGCCTCACCACCACCTCTCCGAGCCAGCCTTCAGGAAGCTGGTGGAAGATGTGCTGGGCCAGACTGGTCACCAGCTTCGCTCCTTTCAAGAGAACTTTGAGAAAGTGCTGCCACCTCCCACCGTTCAGGTAAGTGTCCCTCCTTGTCCCGTAGACCGTTCGGTCCTTCACCTGCCAATGGGGTGCAGCTTTTTTTTTTTTTTTTTTTTTGTAAAATATTTTTCTCTAAAATATAAGGAAAGGGTACCTTCCAGTCCACTTGAAGGAGATACACAGGTAATCTGTTTTGTTTAAAAAAAAAATTTTTTTTTTATGTTTTATAGTTGAGAGAGAGAGAAACAGAGAGCGAGTAGGGGAGGGGCAGAGAGACAGAGACGGAATCGGAAGCAGGCTCCAGGCTCTGAGCTGTCAGCACAGAGCCCGACGAGGGGCTCGAACTCACAAACCATGAGATCATGACCTGAGCCGAAGTCAGATGCTTAACCGACTAAGCCATCCAGGTGCCCCTAGGTAGTCTGTTTTGTAAACAGAGCTGAGGTAGTCAGAAAGAGTCCCCAGAGGAGGACGGGCCTGGATTTGAGGAAATTGAAACTGGGTGCTCAGTCGTACGTGGAATTGCGAAATTAAGGGTCAGGAGACAGTACCAGGATTCCCCAGAAGGGGGAAGGGGACACAGAGGGACAAGTAAAGGAGCCCAGCAGAGCGCGCCCATACAGGTGGCCTGGGCACGTGGCTGGAGTGCAGAGAAGGTCAAAGACCATCAGAGATGCATGGCCGTTCCGAGGGGTGCTGACTCCTGCTTGGGCCACAGCAGTCCCCACTTCCTCTCCTACGCTGACACTGCCCCAGCAGAGGTCTCATGGGGGGTGTGGCAGGGGCCCTGCTATGCGGGGAGAGGAAGGTGCAGAAAATCACAGAGCGGGCACTTGTATGGGTCCCGGGGCGTGGGAGCCTCCTCTCTCTTTCTACTTAAGACACAATAACGTTCTTATCGGAAAAGCATCCCAAGCTGATTGTAGAAAGAAGACACAGAGAAACAAAAAAGAGAAAACGAATGGGAACATCATAACCCCAGTATGTGTTGCAAGTCAGTAGAAGAGAGCGGAAGCCCCTTCTTTTCCACCTTTGTTTCTGCCCCACCGCCCACACTCCCCCTATCCATTCCAGACTTCTCTGCCTGAGGGTGCAGAACCCACAGAAGCGAGGTGGTCACGCAGGAGTGCTTCCGTCCCATCACTCCTGGTGATATTTTTCCCTGGCTCCCCTCGGCTCCTCCAGGGAATACTGCTGTTCTCTTCCTAGGGCCTCTCTCAGACTTGAGAAAGGAGGCAAATGTTTCTACACCACTGGCTTTTATACTCGGGTTAACACCAGCATTCTGGAGGGGGGGGGGTGTTGCGCAGCGGGGAAAGCCACCCTGTCTCCACTTGCATTTAAGGGCCTATTTAGAAACACCAGGTCCTCCTGGTTCTCGATCCTGACTAGCGAACCCTCTGGAGTAGGGCTAATGGCAGAGTCTGTGCCCAAATGCCCCTGAAGGGCACCTCTGCCTGTTTTCCCTACACCAACACCTCTTCTCCCAGAAATAACCATATAGAATATGATACATAGTCAGAGAGTATATGGTAGATCTATATAGAACATCTTAAATTTCTCCTTTGTTTTACAAAAAGGGGACAGTTGTCCCCGAGTCCCTTCTTGGTGATACTTCTGGAAACCCTGAGCAAGAAAACAAAGGCAATGCCAGGAGGTCGTTGGATGGGCGGACAGTGCCACTGAGTCATTCTTCCCAGCTGGGTGGCAGTTCGCATCAGGGCAAAGCTGTCTTCTGTGTTTCCACTACCCCATTCACAAGGCTTCCTGGGCCTTGTAAACAGTAGGTGCTCAGTGAACACTTGTGGAATAAAAGATAGCGCTCCCTTCCTTCGCACGTGAGGGAGGGTCTGTGCGTGTCACCCTGTGCTGGCTGTCACAGCAGCCACACGAGGAAGGCCAGGTGGCCGTGGGAAGCTCACAGCCCTGCTAAGAGCCCTGCCGGGCTTTTTCCTGTGGGATGATTCAGCTTGAGGCTGGGGCCAGAGTTTAGGGCCCAGTCCTAGAGTGCTGTAACTGAGAAATTTCAGGACCCGAATTAGGATTTTAGAAAATCCCGGAAGTGTGGACCTAGAGGGGCTTTAGGGGTTAAATTAGAGGGTTTTTGGGTTTTTGTTTTTCTTTTTCTGAGATCCCTTCGGCTGCTAAGAGTATGTGTTCTTCCTGTGGTCCAGCCATCTGTTGGCGAGGAGACTGTTGCCCGGCTGGGATGCCTGTCGGCAGCAGAGGTTGGATCAGCCCAGGTCCCCTGGCCGTCGGCACGTGGGCAAACACTGCACCGGCTTTGACACGCCAACTCAGGCCCCCGTGTCTCTGTCTGTCCCTCCCTCCCGCCCCCCAGCCGGTCCTTCCAGGGGCTGAACGCCAGGTGCAGGTGCTGCTAAGCAGATATGGCCCGGAGAAGCTGTACCAGGTGACAAGCAACATCAGTGGGGCTGGGACTCTGGACCTGACGCTGCTGCGGGGCCAGATTGTGGCTCTCCTTCAAAACAAGGACACCAAAGGCAACAGCAGCCGCTGGCTGGTGGACACTGGGGGTACGTGGGACTTCGTGGGCTCTTCCCCTTCCTCTGGGAAAACCACCCAACAGGAACCAGCGGGGAGATCTGGGCACTAGTGTGGGCCAGAGCCTGGCTGTGCAAACCCAGGATGGGGATCAGCACAGGGGAAAATGCAGGGCTTGGGGCACAGCCAGCTGGTATGGTAGGTGACATGCCAACAAGAGGAAGGCAGTCTCATGTTGCTGCGTGCATTATCAAGCACCTATTGTGTGCTGAGCGCTGTGCAGAGAAGACAAGGACCCTGCCTGGGGACTTCACAGACCACCGGGGTAGACAGAGATGTATGGAGAGAACTCCAGCCTCGCTCTGAAAGATGTAGATTCGCAGACAGGGGACGCTTGGATCCCAGCCACATGGGAGACATCTGACATCCAGAATGAGGGAGATGTTGTCCTGTCTCCTGCGCACTGGTCCCGCCCTCGGGTGTGCTGCTCAGGTCTGGGCGCCCCAGTGTAACTGGGCAGGAGGCGAGGGGCACTTTGAACCCAGGACAGGATGGCCTGCAATGTCTTCCAAAAAGGGGCACGTGACCCACGAGGTGAGGGTGACACAGGACCCGGTGGGGATCCACAGACAGCTTTTCCCCTTCAGACTGTTTATTGTAATTGTTACTGAAATGTTTTTCTGCGTTTGAGAAAAACTAGAACCAGTACAGAAGCCGATATTTTCTTCAAATTATTGATAGAACAGGTCTAAGGTTTAAAAAGTGAGTCTATCAAAAACTTAAGAAAACGATACAATCGAGCGGAAATCGTGAAAGGGCACTCTTCGTGACCCAGCCGCCTGGGTGTTCAAGCTGGCCCCTGGGGTCAAGAGGATGGAGCCGGGATCCCCAGCCTGCCACCCTACTAACTGCGTGACTCCAGAGAAGTTACGGAGCCTCTTAAGCTGTGTTGGCTCAGCCATCAGATGGAGACAAGAGTCCTGACCCGGAGGGTGGATGTGAAAGCTAGACAATAGAATGCCAGTCTGGCACCCCGTGGGCCCTTGGGAAGTGCTGACCATGCACAGCCATAGCAGCCGGAACGGCACTGGAGTCGTTGTTCCTGAGCAGGAACTGGGGGCACTTGGAGAAGGGAAAGGCAGTTTCTGCCTCCTGGAAAAGGCTGTCCTGGGGTGAGGAAGCAGCCCTGCTCTGGGCCTCTGCTAGAGGCGGAGGAGACACGTGGGCCCAGCACCGGAAAAGCAGTTTTCATACCAGCCCCAGGAAGAACTTTTTAATCTCTGTCAAAGCTGTTCAAAACAGAGTAGGCTGCCTCAGTAGGGAATGAGCTCCCTGTCAGTGAGGGTGTGCAAGTAGAGGCTGGAAACAGTGAGTGGGAGTGGGTTGGGGATGGCTTTGTGAGGTTCCTGCCATGACCTCTTCAGGTCCTCTTTTGGGCTGGAGAGCTGTGTTGGAGGTATTCACTTCGGTGAAATGGTGGTAACTTCCTCTACCCCTGAAGGGTGGGGAGGGCGGTCCGCAGCCCGATAACGTTCTGCATGTCCTGTAGGGCATCGAGGGTATGTGCCAGCTGGGAAGCTGGAGCTGTACCGTGTCATCCCCGGTCAGGAGGAGGTCAAAGAGCAAGTGCAGCCTCCCAAGGACTCCCATCATCTAACATCAGAGCCCAGCCCAGCCCCAGTCCCCTCCGTCCCAACAGTGACCCAGGTGAGTCTGGGGGAGGGGTGGGATCTGTCTCTGCATGGCCACCTGGAGTGGGGCTTTCATTTTCCTCCTGTTCCAAGAGGCTACCGTCCCATGAGGCCAGGGCCTTGGTCAGTGGCCACACCGGTGTCCTGGTCAGGAGTGGACCTGGAAGAAGGAAACCCCCATCCCTGCCACATCAGCAACCCCTTGCTCCCTATCAGCAGGACAAGTGGGATTCATTCATTCGTTCGTTCATTCATTCATTCAATATTTGCCAGGCAGTGTGCTAGAGGACAGACCTAATAATGAGCACAAGTAAATCCTGGTCCTTGCCTTCCTCAGATTTATAATCTGAGCAAGTAATAAAATAATCATGTGGATAATTGTAAAGTTAGAGCAGTGATACATGCCAGGGCCCCAGGTGTGGGAGAGGTTCAGAAAAGGCTTTTCTCAGAAAAATGATGGCTTTTTCTCAGATTTGAAGGGTGAGCGGGGACTGATTGGCTGAAGGGGGTGTGCTGGGATGTGGAGGGGAAGAGCTCCCCAGAAAGCGTGCTCCGGGAATGCAGAGGCCCAGACAGGGGCTCGTGAGGAACTGACTAAAGCAGGTGTGGTCCAGGAAGAGGAGGGCAGGGGTGAGGCGCTGCTGGAGAGGTGGGCAGGGCCAGGCCAGCAGGGCCTGGTGGTCTCGGTGAGGGTGTCAGCCCTTACTTAAAAGCAATGGGAAACGTACATGGACGTTCACTGCAGCACTATCCATAACTGCCAAAAATTAGAAACAAGTGAAATGTCCACCAGTAGATGAATGGGTAAACACAATATGGCATATCCATCCAGTTAATTATTACTCAGCCATAAAAAAGGAGGTGCCAATACCTGCCACCACATTCAGTGTGATACGAGAGGCCACGTGCTGTGTGATTCCGCTTATATGAAAAGTCCAGAGTCCAGAACCGACAAATGCAGAGACACAAAGTGGATCAGTGGCTGGCAGGGGCTGCGGTTGGGGGATGGGACGTGCTGCTGTCTGGTATGGGGTTTCTTTTTGAGGTGATGAAAATGTTCTGGAATCAGTAGTGAGGGTTGCTCAGCCTCTGAACGTATTAAAAACGATTGCATTGTACGCTTTAGAAAGATGACTGTCACGGTATTTGACTTATATCTCAAAACACAAGTCAGTGATGGGAAGCCACGGAAGGGTTTGACTTTGCTGGGACAGAGTTCTGGAGGGAGAGCAGCTCAGTGGGGTCGCCGTGAGGGCTGGATGGGATAGGAAAGCCGGGCGGGCATATGTGAACCTCAGTAAAGGGAGGCCACGCTCCCAGTTAGAAAGGAGGAGCTTCACAGGTGACAGTTGAGCAGCAGAAGGGGCCTGGGGGGACAAGGGGTGGGAACCCAGAGGCTTGCAGTGAATAGCCAGGGGGTGTCTCAGGCCAGAGCCGAGCCTGAAGTGGGCCGCGTGGGGGCTGCATGGAAGCCTGTGGAATCTGACGTTTGCGGCTTGTGACGCGTCCCTGGGAAGGCTCCAAGGGCCAGTGCCTGGAGCACCAGCCACAATTAGTGCATCAAGCCTGCCTCCTGCAGGACGTTCCCACCTATCAGCAAAGGACCCACGAGGATCTCACGAGAGGGCCTGGCCCCCCAGTTGAGTCCCTGCTCCACCCAGGGTGGGCAGTGTCTCTGGGTCTATCTTCCCAGACACATCAGCTGCCTCCCTGTTCATGGGTCCACACATGTGGGGTCCTCCCAGTCTTCCCTTGCTCCTGATTGTTCCTGAGGCTTGGCCACAGTAAGAGTGGGAACGGTAAAAATAATCAGAGCAGCCTTCATTTACTGAGCCCTTACTGTGTACCAGGCACAGGCCTTCATCATTCATTAAATTCCCACAGCCACCTGGCAGGAAGGATAATATCACATCCATTTTGCAGATGATGAAACTGAGGCCAGGGAGGTGAAATATTAGCCTGATAAATGCCCTTCCCTCCAGTTTTTCCTCCAGCTCAGTGCTTTTCCCGAAAACATGACCAAGTCACCCAACCTCTTTTCTGTACTCCAAGCTGGGAAATGGGCCTGAGCAGATGACACCTTTAGATAGGGCGGGGTGGGGGGGAGGTGATGAGGCAGAGAAGGCCATGCCTTCTAGTCAGTGAGATGGCAGCAGTGGGCTGAGGCCAGACAGGCCTGGCTTCATTGCCATGTGACTTCTGAATAAGTTGTTTGACCCCTCGGAGTCTCAACTTCCGTATCTGAAAAATGGGCCAACTGGGATTATGTAATTGTGAGCATCAACACGAGGTAAAGTGCTGGGACGGAACCTGCCACATAGTGGGAAGTAGCAGAGGTAGCCTTCATCTGTAGCATACAGGATGTCCTTGGGAGGTGGTGACAGCCCAGCAGTGGGGACTGAGTCGGGTGGGAGGGAGCAGGACGAACAGCCTCTCTGGGTGGAGTCTGTCTGTCTCCCCCGCCCCCCCCCCCGACCATTTCTGTGTCACTTTCCATGTGTTTCAGGTGGTGGCAGTGTACCCCTTCGTGGCCAGAAGCAGCCATGAAGTGAGTCTGCAGGCAGGCCAGCTGGTGACTGTCCTGGAGGCCCAGGACAAGAAGGGGAACCCAGAATGGAGCCTCGTGGAAGTGAACGGGCAGAGGGGATATGTGCCTTCCAGCTTCCTGGCCAGGGCCCCAAGCCCAGCTCCGTGGGGCTGGAGTCTGCCCTCTTAGGGTGCCCTCCTTGGAGCCCGTGTTGCCAAGGGATGGGGAGGCTTAGATGCCGTGATCCTGCGAAGGAACAGAAGCCAAGAGAAGGCGGGGCTGGAAGGGGGGGATCAGGCCAAGGTTGGGTGAAGGGCAGCCAGAAGAGGTGGGTGGACCTTGCAGAGTACCCGGCTTGGCTTGGGTGAGCTTGGAAGGCTCCAGGCAGAACCACTGTTATGCCTGCAAAGAAGGTGGTTCCCATCTGAAGTCACAACAGCCTGGATGGCAGGTCAGATTGATAAGGACTCGCTGTAGCTTATGGCCAATCTTACCTGTGCTTTCATCCAGCTCTGCCCATGGGAGTGGGTCACCCAGGTGAAGGGTACCTGCGTGCGATGGGGTTACGGGGACACACTGGAGAGGTCCAGGACTACCTGCCCTGACGGTTCACTTCCTTCATGTGGCATCAGGAGACACCACAGCCGACCGGTCGTCTTTTATTTCTCCACGCTGGGAGCTGAGCTATCCTGGGCATCGAACCCCTGGGAGCCCTCTTGAGCAGGGAAGCCAGGCCGTGTGGGGCCCGTGGGAAGGTTCTCAGGAGACCGTTGGCCTAGCCTGGGAATGGGCGTGGCCACATCACAGTTCTGGAATGTGTTTAGGCAAATTGAGAGGCTGTTCCGGGGAAGGGAGGGACTTTGAAAGCGTGTTAGGTGGGGCCGTGAGGCTGTTGCACACTGCCAGATTAGGGAGCGAAAGGCTATGCAAATGGCAGAGGCAACTCTATGCAGCAAGTGGTCAAAAGCCTGGTGGGTGGGGGAGCTTAGGCATGGCTTGGTTTCCAGTTTCTGGAAGTTGGGAGCCAGGGGGAATCCCCGGTGGTTTCAGGGCCTGGAGGCAGCAGTGAATGTGAAGTCAGTTGGCCGTGGAGCCTTAGACACAGGACACAACCTGTTTTTCCCTCCCCGCCACAAAGATCCAACTCACAGGGTTGTGGTGAGAATGAGCTGAGGCTAAGGTTGGGAAGCTGCTTGTAAATTGCGAAGTGTGGTATAAATGTAAATTGCCTTTGGTAGCAGGATGTGCCCAGCATCACCTGACCCAGCTGCAGCTAGGAGCGTTCCGCTCCCCATTCCCCGGTCCAGGCATTGTCAATCAATGTGGCGTCCTTTCCCACAAACCCAGGGTATACTTCAGGATCCTTCTCAACACTGCATTCTAGGCAGCCAGTCTCTTGAACTTGGTGAGATCAAACCCATTGTCAACCCTTTCTCAAACCTGGAAATTGAAAAACAGTTCCTGTTCAAGGAAGACTGGCCCACTGGGGCAATTTGGGGTGCAGCCACTGTTGAATCATCATCTCTGTGTTGTCACTCTGGCTAAGATAAATCTCAAGGTCCAAAGAAGGGGATGGTCCAGCGTGATCTTTAATGCAAATGATCAATTTTGGAACGAACCCAGGTTAGAGTGTGTGTAAAAACTGGTGGCAGTTTTGGCTTATTTCCAAGAACATCTCCATGTTATTATAACTGTAGGGCCTAACGCCGTTAGCTCTGGTTTGGGGAGGGCATTTGAGAAATATGCATGCCTGTGTGAGAGTCTGCACCTCACTCCTCGGCTTGTGAAAGCAGAAGATACATAATGCAAGAGAAACTCAGTCCCCGCTGGCCCTTTCCCAGCACGAAATTCACTCTGTAAGATGCCCTCGGCTCACTTTCCTTTCTCTTTCCTGCTCAGGTTTCTAGTACCAACAGGAAGCCTAGGGGAGCAGATAATAAAATAGAAAATGCATTTCTGTGTTCCTCACTGCCGAGAATCTGCCGTGGGCTGGAATCCTAGCTCAGGGCTTCTCAACTTGGCTACTTGCTGTGGTCCCTGGGCAACTTTCAGCTGTGACTGATGCCAGGATCCCACCCAGAGATTCTAATGGAATTCATCTGGGGTGTGGCCAGGGCCTCAGGAACTCAGAAAGCTCCCGAGGTGCTTCTGGTGTGCCATCGGGGCTGGACGAGACACTCAGGGGTGGACGAGAGGGGTGTGCAGTCAGAAGTGGCCACAGGCTATAAGCTAGGATGTACCCCATCTGAGCTTTGTCCTAGCTCAGATGTTTGGAATGGACGGCTGTAGAGGTGGCTTGAAATAGGACAGCCTGTTCTGTCGGGTCCCAGAATGTATATGTATTAAGTGCCATTAACAGGGACCTGAACAAAAGTGGGTGTTCTTGAAGGCGTAAGGGAGAAACCTGAAATACACTTGGAACCAAATCTATCTTGCGAGGGGAAAATGAAAATGTGTTCAGTAGCACATGGGTTGTGGTGTCTTGTAGATAAGAGGATGAGATTAAAAGTCACTGACAGGTAAGAAATTGCATGTCGAGAGAGAGAGAACGGCCTGAACTTTCTCCAGGGGACTCTGGGTAATGTGCCTTTTCCCCCCTAAATGCCTAGATCCATTACACTGTGTCTTACTTATTTCATGGTGGGCTCTCACCTATTAAACTTGCTAAGGTTACTTGCCTGTGAACCAAACAAGACTGATTCACGAGGGTAGCCCTCGCTCCCTGCGACAGAGTGGATCCTCCTTAACCTTTTGGGCCCAAACCCGGTTTTGAACATGAGGATAAGATTACAATGTCAAGGGAAGATGAATGAATTCTCACGTACGATATGGAGGTCTAGCTTGGTGAATCAATGATGTGACCTGCTGAGAATAAAGGACTTCACCGATGAAAATGTCTCTGGGGTTTGTGGGACTCTACCCATTGGATAGTCGGATGCCACAGTGTGACCTGTGCTCACTGGATACCTGCTGTTCATAAAAATGGCGCCTCATCTGCTCCTGGGTTCATTTAATGAGTGTCTAACACCCACCCCTTGGTGCCTCCAGGAGTTGGCCTCAGCTTCTGGGATCCGGTGAGGAGTCAGACGGATGGGGGCCCTGTCCTCCCGAAGCCCACGGTCTGGGGAGGGAGACAGACAAATCAGTAGTCAGTTACCGTGCAGTGTAAGCGTTTGGGTGGGGCAGTAGCAAGTGCCAGCGGAGGGGTCACCCCCGAGACTTGGCAGCTCAGGAAGGCTTCCTGAAAGAAGCGCTGTCTGAGCTGAGGCTTGATGGGTAACTTGGGTGAAGGTGGGAGGGAGGGCACATGCCAAGGCCCACGGGCAAGCATGAGCATGTTTCATCGGGGACCTGAAAGGCTGTAGAGCTAGGACACAGCGTGTGTGGAGGCGTGGTAGGTGTCGTGGGAGACGGCTGAGAGAGGGCAGCGTGAGAAGGAGCTCTGGGTTGTGTTCTGAAGGCAATGGGGAGCCACCGAAGGGATTGAAGTAGAGGAGTGACATACCCAGGGCTGTATTTAAGGATACAAGCTCTAGTGCATTCTGGAATTTCCCCAAGGTCCTGTCACACTGCTCAAGAAATAGATTTTCCATGCGTACTGCTTACATAAACATCCCAGAGGGGCTGGGAGGCCCTGCCTCCAGGGACTCGATCTCCCGGCCAGCTGGAGAAGCAGGACAGGGCAGGATGCCGTCAGCGCCAGAGGGGTCCTAGGGACCAGGCTTGCAGGTGCTCAGATAGGAGGGAGTTCTGGGGGAGTGGGGAGCTGAGGTGCTCAGGGAGGCTTCCTGGAGGATGCAGGGCAGGGGCCGGGTTCTGTGGGATAAGTGGGATTGGGGGACGCGAAAGGGAAAGAGAGGCCCTCTCAGGCCTGGGGAGCTAGCGTGGTGGTGTGAAAAGCTCCTGGGCCTGAGAAGGCCTCCCTTTCCCTTTTGCTCGGCCTCAGGACTCCTGAATTCAAGGTCTCCTTGACCACAGGCAAGTAGCAAGTGCACTTATCATGGTTTCTGCATGTGAAGAAATTTGGTGAGGCCCCCCAGCCTGCCCTGTCCTCTCCACTCAGCCCCGAAAGTACTCATTGTTGAGTCCTGGTTTATCCCAAGGAGTCCCTGGCTCCCTCCACCGGGACCTAGCTTCCAGCATGGAGGTCACTGTAGGGCCTGTTATGACAGGGCAGAGCCTAAAGTACCCTGGACCGGGGTTACGGGAAAAATTGGATTCCACTTTGGCAACATCAATCAGGAAGAGCAGGTAACCCGAACAGTCCATTCATCTCACCTTGCTTGTCTGTTTTTTGTTTGTTTGTTTTTTAATTTTTAAACATTTATTTTTGAGAGAGAGAGAGAGAGAGAGAGTGGGGGAAGCGCAGAGGAGACAGAATCCGAAGCGGGCTCCACGCTGTCAACGCAAAGCCTGACATGGGACTTGAACCCACAAACCGTGAGATCATGACCTGAGCGGAAGTTGGACGCTCAACCGACTGAGCCAGCCAGGCGCCCCTCATGTGTTCTTTTTAAAAATTTTTTTTTTCAATGTTTATTTTATTTTTTTTGGGACAGAGAGAGACAGAGCATGAACGGGGGAGGGGCAGAGAGAGAGGGAGACACAGAATCGGAAACAGGCTCCAGGCTCCGAGCCATCAGCCCAGAGCCTGACGCGGGGCTCGAACTCACGGACCGCGAGATCGTGACCTGGCTGAAGTCGGACGCTTAACCGACTGCGCCACCCAGGCGCCCCACCTCATGTGTTCTTATCGTAATTTCTGAACTTGTCTTTTCTGTCTTCTCATCTGTAAAATGGGCACAACTCCTGGTCTCACAGGGTGGTGGGTGGGAATAGTAAATGGAACAGTGTGACGGCTCATGGGTCACACATCCAGGAGCCTCACTGCTGTGCCCTGAAGGAAATGGTGAGCTCTGGCCACCAGGTGGCAGCAGGGCTCTACCCGTCCGCTGCGGGTCCTCCCGAAATGCCCTCGGGCTGGGCAGATGGCGCAGTTGAGAGGAAGGACCGGGTGAGAGCTTAGGGAGTGGTGGGGACTGTGTTGGACCAGAGCACTCCCCCACGGTCCAGATTTGCTGGCAGCTTCTCGGCTGCAACTAGTGTTCCACAGAATGAGGGCCCAGCGATGCCAGACGTTCTGATTTTTCAAGAGAAGCCAGAAACCAGGGTTGTGTCTGGTTTTATTT